CTGGTTGCTGCGTACCTGCGCCCAAGGGGGGACCGGGTCAGAGGCACGGGGAGAGGGACCCCAGGCTGTGTGGTCCCGGGGGGCTCGACCCTCCACGCACCATGAGATGCCTTCCACCGAGCCCTGCTGGAATGCGGCAGGGAGGCACAGAGAAACCTCCCACGGCCTGACCCCCATCATGGGGTCACAGAATGGTTTAGGTTGGAAGGGACCCTTAAAGGTCATGTAGTCCAACCCCCTGCAATGAGCAAGGACATTTTCAGGTTGCTCAGAGCCCTGTCCAACCTGACCTTGGATGTTTCCAGGGCTGGGGCATCTACCACCCTTCTGGCCAACCTGTGCCACTGTTTCACCATCCTCATCAGAAAATGTTTCTTCCTTATAACTAGTCTGAATCTCCCCTCTTTTAGTTTAAAACCATAACTCCTTGTCCTATTGCTACAGGCTCTACTAAAAAGTCCCTCCCCATCTTTCTTACAAGCCCCCTTTCAGCACTGGAAGGCCGCTATAAGGTCTCCCTGGAGCCTTCTCCTCTCCAGGCTGAACAACCCCAACTCTCCCAGCCTGTCCTCACAGGGGAGGTACTAAAGCCCCCTGAGCATCTTTGTGGCCTCCTCTGGACCCACTCGAGCAGGTCCGTGTGTCTTGTGCTGGGGGCCCCAGAGCTGGACGCAGCACTGCAGGGGGGTCTCACCAGAGCGGAGCAGAGGGGCAGAATCCCCTCCCTCAACCTGCTGCCCACGCTGCTCTGGGTGCAGCCCAGGGTGCGGTTGGCTTTGTGAGCTGCGAGCGCACGTTGCTGGGTCATGTCCAGCTCTTCATCTAACACTACCCACAATCCCCCAGCCTCCAAAGTCCCACCTTACCTTGTCCAGCACAAAGACAGCAGCTTTGCGCTGCGAGGGGATGAAGAGGCCCAGGAGTGCCTTGCTGCCCTGGGAGCTGTGGTAGAGGTAGATGTGGCGAATACTTCCTAGGGACACAGAGTGCAGAGCATCAGTGGTACCCATGGGCACCCATGAGCCCCTCTCCCAGGGTGCCTTACCTGGCTCCAGGTAAGTGAACTGGGCCAGCGAGCGCATCTCCAGGTGCTCAATGTCAAAGGTTTCGGCCTCCCGCCCCGCCAGGTGCCTGACAAGCTGCCTGCTGACCATGCACACACAGCCCAGGTGGATCAGGGCCCGGAGGAGGAGCGGTACCTGTGAAGATGGGGAGAGATGGGGGGGGAACAACGTCGCGCTACCAAGCTCCTCTTGGGGTTTTCAGACCTAGAACAACCTGGCTTAAAAAACACAGGTAGGACATACCCGAGATACCTCCAGCACGAGTCTGGTATTATCACCCTTGCCAGTGCTGGAGATAGAGAACAGGTATCTTAATTCTTAACTCACACGTGTTCCTATCTAGCCCCAGATCCCACCCTCAAGGGCAGCAGCAGGTACTCTGGAGGATGTGTGGAGTGGTATCTGGGCAATCTTGCAGCTCTGCAACTTGTGGTTCAGCACTCCCTTGAAACAACGGCTTCACCTGAACCACCAGATGAATCGCTACAGCGGGAGATCCACCACTGATTTGCCCTGTTTTATCAACTCTATGGCTGTAAACTCCACCGCTGCAGAAGGCTCTCCCTCCATGACTTGCTGTGGGACCTAGTCCCAAAAGAGTGAGAAGCAATAAATATCCCTTGCCTAATCACACTTCCCTCGTGCCAGGTTTTATTTTGTAGACCCCCAGTACCTCCTGCTTTCAACTCTCTTTAGCAAGCTGAAGCACTCCTGTGTCCCTAATCCCACCCCTGCAAGGAAGACGTTCCCTCCCTTGCATCTTCCTCCTCATTCTCCTGGGTTTGTCCTGCTACGTTTTTTGGAGACCATGCTCAGAATTGCACTGCAGATGTTTAAAGATCAAGGCAGATCTTTCCTTGCCCAGGACTGTGTCCAACTGGGTTCTCTGTATCTCCAAGGACAGAAACTCCACAACCCTCTGCCCAACGCACTTGACCACCCTTGCAGGAGAAGTTTTTTCTGATGTTTACACAGAATTTCTCATGTTTCAGTTTGTGCCTGCTGCCTCCTGTTCTCTCCCTGGGCACCAATGAGAAGAGCCTGGCTCCTCTCCTTTACTCCTCCCATCGAGAAGGTCCCCTGAGCCTCTTCTCCTCCAGGCTGAATGGTCCCAGCTTGCTCAGCCTCCCCTTGCACAACAGATGCTGCAAGTCCTTGACCGTCTCACTTCCTTTTACACCTTTAAAACATCCCCATGCCCCTTGTTTTACTTCAGTTGCTAATTTTAACTTCCTCTTAGCTAGCTGCTGCTTGATTTTACCTAGTCCCACTTATTATGGTAGTGGAGAGGACCCAGGTTTGCTACTGGAAGATCTACAGATAGGATGAATATCTGCACATGCTAGTCACTTTGACAGAGTGATTTGAAGTAAGTTTTGGGCACTGCTTACTAAACTAAGAGTTATGCCTTGCCTTGTGAGAACTTTATCCAAAATAAATACACTTTATTACTAATAAATAATAATAAATAACTTCATTATTAATTTTTCTAAAAGCAGAAATTTAAGGTGACTAAAAATGGTTTCTTTCCTCATGTCCCACTGTAACACTTCCCAGGCTACACCAATGACTTTGGATGCTGAAATCTCCCAAATTTATGATGCTCTTTTTGCCTGCAGCTTCTTGCATCTCACAAAGCATTCTGTAGCTAATGGCATGACTGCTCACACCAAGCTTGTCTTACTTAGGCAAAGACTTTTGATCCATAATTCTACGTTGCATTTTAGTAGCAAACTCGCTTGCCTTTATGCTTTCTTTAACATACAGCTCCACTCTTACAATGGCACAACCTACTCTGCCACTTCCATATAGGTCAGGTCCTGACACTACAATGTCGTCTTGATTAAATCCCTGTCACCAGGTTTGGAGCTGCTGAGTGTCCTCGTTAGAAGCAGGCATCCTAGTTTCCAGTCTTCATTTTCAGGCTTCCAGCATTAATAGCACTGGTAAATTTAATTCTGGCTTGATTACTTTGTACTGAACTTCATTTAGGTTGTTCTTGCTCTTCCTGAACTTTCAAGCCATACCTTGTTCTTCTTTCTAAAGCTTCTATAAACCTCATTTTAGAGGACAGGGCACCCAGACCTATGTATGACTCAACACATGATGGGTTTCCCCCCATCTTTACTCTAAATACCCCTTACCTCTTCTGGTTCAAACACCAGCAGGCCAGTTCTGGTTTGGTTTGGAGAAAGATCACCCTTTCTCCTTAAATGCCTTCTTTCCCCGAAGTTTTCTAACCCCAGATGAACTGAACCCTCTTTTTCCCTGACAAGCCTTCAGCCGTGTGCTGATACTTGGTATCTCCGCCTGTAAGAACATGGGTGTATCCCCCAGTACTCTGCTGCGCAGGGTCCTTGATTTTGGTATCTCACCACGTTGTTGAATTTTTAAGTGTCAGGTGCCCCCCCTGTGCCACTGGCCCTCAGACCAACAAGCTACCGTGCAGCAATCCTTAAAACCGAGCACTCGGAAGAGTTACCTGTGTCTCATACACTCCCTCGATGTCTGGAGCAGAGAGGTCCGCGTTGATTTCGTTGATGTGCTCCTGGTACATGTCTTCAGGGACAGAGTATTCATACAGGTTGTAAACCAAGTTGGAGCGGGGCAGGATCCTGTTCACCTGCCGAGGCAAGGGACAAGCTTAGCGGGGCACGGCACACCACGGCACCGCTGCCAGGAGCTGGGGCACTTCCAAGGGCTCCCAGGAGCTGGGGTCTGAGCCAAGCGAATTCCCAAGAGAACTGGCAGTTTCTACTCATGTGTGTTACAAATTCCCAGAACAGAGAACCTGCAGGTCCTGGGCAGGCTGGGATTAGCAGAGAGACCAGGGACTGGATGAGGTACATGGTGCAGTGGGACAGCGAGGCCCTGCGAGGCAGACGCTTGTGCTATCTGCTTGCAGAGTAGGTGAAGTGTCTTATCTCAATGCATGTGGCTGTTTCCCCTCCCAGAACGGGCAGGTCCTCACCCTCTTGTAGGCTGCTCCCTCCTCCGCCTTCGGGACGCGCTGGTTGACGTAGAAGACCCGGGGGATGCTCAGCCTGATGCAGTGCAGGTCGCTCCCGATCACCGCCCACAGCCGGAACAGCCCGGGCTGGCTGGTCTCAGCAATCTGCAGGACACGGGGGTATAAAGTTAGCGTTAGCAGGGAGATGGGACATGTTATCGGTGCCTATGTCTAAGCTGTGGAGCACTTTATGGATCTATATAGCCCCAAAGACAGTAGGGGCTTAAAGAGTCATCGCCCTCAGCGCAGGAGTCCCCATGTCCTGCTACTGTCCCAGGGCACCATGGAGAAATCTCTAAGGCTGGCCAACCAGCCCAAGCTGACCCTTGATGTCAGCCAAGTCACTCAGGACAGCTGGTCCAGGATGTCAATCTCACGCTCACGCTTGCACAAGGGCTGCCTGCAGCTCTGAAGGCCTTTCTGGAAGATGAAGTGGGTGACGAGGGACTGGGTTCTGATGGCCACGTGCAAGGAGGATTTGTGAAAATGCCTGGATGGCACCATCCCACCTCTGCATTCGTATGTTGGCTGCTTCCAGGTGTCGCTGGAATCCTATGTCCACCACAGACACACTGCACTCAGTGCTGGGCTCCCCAGTACAGGAGAGACACAGACATACTGGAGAGAGTCCTATGAAGGCCCACAAGGATGAAGAGGAGACTGTAGCCTCTTTCATATGAGGACAGGCTGGGAGAGCTGGGACTGACCACCATAGAGCAGAGAAAGCTCAGGGGGATCTCATCAATGTATATAAATATCTGAAGTCCAAAAAAGATGGAGCCTGGCTGTTCCCAGTGGTGCCCAGTGACAGGACCAGAGGCCATGGGCACAAACTGGAATACAGCAGGTTTCCTCTGCACGTCAGGAAACACTTTTTCCCTGTGAGGGTGATGGAGCCTTGGCACAGGTTGCCGAGAGAGGTTTTAGAGTCTCCCACCTTGGACATACTCAAAAGCCATCTGGACACAGTCCTGGGCAACTGGCTCTGGGTGGCCTGCTTGAGGAGGGGGTTGGACTCAATGGATCCCAGAGCTGCCTCCAACCTCCACAGCTGTTTTTGTGGTTCTGTGACTACTGCACAGCGCTGAACTGGAGCTGCCCCACTGACAGAGCTACACGCACATCCCAGATCCACCACCAAGAATGACCATGTGGGCCCCGTTTCCACACGGACGTGCAGGAGCCTGATGCTTCGCAGCCCCACCCGGCCTCCCCAGGGTTAACACCAGAGCGGCATTGGGGTCAGCAGTCCCTGAACCCCACCATTTGACCACAGTGTACACATGAGGCTTACGCCCCGGGCTGCCCTCGGTGGCAGGTTCCCTCCCCAGTACCTGCACAATCTGCCAGGGCAAGTCCAGGATGCTGCGCGCTGTCCTGCGCAGGTAGCTACTCAGCCCTTTGGAGAGGGTGTCGCGGACCACTCCTCCACCTGCCACCACCCCGCCGTCCTCCAGAGCACGCATGAGCGGAGCCAGAAACCAGCATGGGCTTCCCAGCCCCCCCCGACCATGCCTTGCGGCCAAGCCCTCCAGCCCCCAGCCCTGCCTCATGCTCCTTCCCCAGATGTGAAGCCACCACCACTCCCCCTTCCTCCATCAGTGGTTATATTTCTCCATCTCATGGTTATATTTCTCCATCTCATTGTTACATTTCTCCCACGCATGAGCGGAGCCAGAAACCAGCATGGGCTTCCCAGCCCCCCCCGACCATGCCTTGCGGCCAAGCCCTCCAGCCCCCAGCCCTGCCTCATGCTCCTTCCCCAGATGTGAAGCCACCACCACTCCCCCTTCCTCCATCAGTGGTTATATTTCTCCATCTCATGGTTATATTTCTCCATCTCATTGTTACATTTCTCCTTGTAGCCCCGAGCCATGGGTGGGCAGAGGGCTTCAGGAGACCCACAGCTCGCTCCTGGCAGCACCCAAGCTGCTTGGGTGGACGAGCACAGCCTCAGGGCATCTCCTGCCCAGTCTGCTTCACCTACCTTGGTGGTACCCAGGGGGGGAGGTGGACCCAGTATCTCTCGCCAGGACTGGGACAGCTCCAGGTACTGGGACATCTGCTGGCTTTCCTCTGCTGCAGGAACTCGCTTCCGCTTATTTGTGATGGGAACCGGTGGCTGAAGGGTCTTGGCAGCCCCAAAGTCCTCTATGTCACCAATCTGTGAGCTGAGTGTCCCCTCCAGGGGCTGGTTGGCAAGGACCTGAGGGTGCAAGGACAGCAGGAGGACATGGATTGCAGGAGAAGAGTCCCACCAGCACTGCTAGGATCTTTCCCTCACTCTCTTTACCTGTCTCTTGCCTTCCGAAGTGAAAAGCTCATTGATTTTTTTCTGTTTGTACACATCGTTCTTCTCCAGCAGTTTCTTGTGAAGCCAGTCTGGGTGACGGACCCGGGGCACGGGGTTCTTTATCTGGAGAGCATCTCCAAATCACACCAAGTCCCCCGACCAAAGCCCTCCACCTGTCCCCGCCCCGCCCCGTACCTGCTGCAGGGCTGCGGGAATGGTGATGATTTTCTGGATGGTGCTGCCCAGTCTCTCGATGTAGTAGTCCCAGTCCAGGATCTGTGAAGAAGGCAGAGCAACAGGTAGCGGAGCAAGCTGAGCAGAAGGCCACCAGAGGCAGGATCAAGCATCTCCCCAGGACCCCCGTCCCCAGCACCCCACTTTACGAGCAGAAGTAGCCACTGCCCAGTTCACGCCTCCGACGGGACGAGGCCCTTGGTCCTGAAGCCAGGGCCGCCCGCAGGGATGCCCCACTCACCGCACGGATGTTGAAGTCCTGCAGTGAGGGGCTCTTCAGCCATTTTCGGAGGTAGTGTTTGCACACGCTGGGCTCTGCTTGGAAGATGGCGAGGGGGATGGCCCTGGGGAAGTCAGGGAAGCACTTATCACCCAGCCAGAGCAAGGTCCCAGCAGCGCAAGACCGCCTCTCCCAGCCTGCAGAGACCCTCCAGGCTTCTCCTCCCACCTCTGCGAGGCCGCCGTGCAGCAGTTGTACGGTGTTGCCCATCACTAGTCTTGCTCACGGCCTGAGCCAGCAGTCAGGAGATCACTTGGACACACCGCAACAGCTCGCTCACCTCCTGCTACCCTGCCCTTCTCCTCTTGGTTGTCCCCACACTGTCAAAAGCCCTGGCCCCTCAAGATGGGGTTACCTCTCAGTGACTGGAGACCCTTCTGGTTTCTTAGAAATGATGAACCGGCAGCTCAGCCCTGCATCCTTCACCATCTGGTCCCCCAGGAACTCTGCCAGGCGCTTGGCAGTGCTGATGGAGGTGGACTTCTGCTCCCCATAGTCCTCCAGCTTGCGTGACATGGACCGGTTCTCCGAGATCAGCTCAAACAGCTCTGAATCAGGCATGTTGGCAGCCTGAAAGGGATGAAAAAAACCCCAAAGCTAGCAAGAACCCAATGATCAAACCTTGCTGCTGTCAGATACAGGGAGCACCTGCACGCAGTTGGCGTGGCTCCTTATGGGGAGCCTGGGAATTGCTCCCTGCTGCAGCTGCCAATGTGACCTATTGAAACGGGAGAGTGTGGGTTTGAGGCTTCTTGCACCGGTTTATGCCGTGGCTGTCACACACACAAAGTAGCTGGGCTCACTAAGAACGTCGTACGAGTCATTACAAAATGGAAGGCCCCAGCCAGGCTCTTGGTCCCTCTCCCTCCTCCGATTTTTGTTTTCTCTGCTCTCCCCAGTTATTGTACAGCTGATGTCTCTGCTCCTCATAAAACATCCCGCAGGCAAGCGGCTCTGCCATTCTCTGCCTCAGTGAATGCCCTTAGACAATGTCCTTGGGGAATGAGGGTCACCAGCCCAGCTCCATGAAGACACCACTCACCCACAGCTACAGCTGAATGAAGAGCCCTTGCACTAAAAGACACTAAACAGCAGCTCTGGAGAACCAAAGCAGCTGAGATATGATGGAAGTGACCATCAGAGACATAGACCACCACTTAATCTGTGCAAGTGAAGTCCACCCTCCCCACAGTGCCCAATCAGCTCTGACAATTCTCCAGCTCCACCTTGGGAGCGCAGACGTGCCGAGCTGCGCTTACCTTGCTGTAGAGCACATCCAGCCAGTAATCGGCCACCTTGGCCACAGAAGCATAGACCTCCTCCAGGGTGCTGCCTTTCAGAAAGGCTTCAAACACAGAAGACTGGAATATCTTCACTAGCTGCAGCTCTCCCCGGCGCTTCACCTCAAATCCCTTCAGCTCAGCCAGGGACCCATCCTCGTTGAACACTGCATACCTAGGAGACACATCGTGGGCAAAACCTGGCCTGTGCCAAGGGACACGTCCTCCAGGATCCCGCTGGTGTCCCTCCTGCCAAGGCGCTTCTCCCCAGGCCACCACGTCACCACCCAGCACGTTCAACAGAGCTGCGGTGCTCAGCACTAGGATGATCTCAGAATACCTACAGCTGCTCCACCAACTGCTCAAGCTTGGTCAGCTGGTGCCCCAGCTCATCCACACTGGCTGGGAGAACGATCTGAACCACACACAAGGAAAGGGCGGGAGGTGAGAGCCCGGGTGGGGAAATGGAGGAAGTTCTTAGGAGAAGGTTTAGAGAGAAGGAAATTTTGTCAGCTCAGATGCTTGGCAAAGGGGTTCAGAGGAAACTGGATGTAGCCATGACACAACTAGAGGAACGCTCCTCCCTCTCTCTTTTTCCTCTTGCATTTTTTTTTGCATTTCACAGCCCTGCCATTTATTTGTATGTCTCAAGAAAAACCTTATGGGAACATCAGCGAAGAGAAGGGATACTCAAACCTACACCCATTGGCCAGACCTTCTCCCCCCGACCACGTTCCTGTGGGCACAGCCTTCTCCTCCTCCACCAACGATGCTGCCTGCCAACCACCTCCAGGCTGTTTCGACTGGAGAGTGACCAAGAAATAAATGCACTCGCTAACCTCCCCAAACTACAAGAAACCAAGTGGCCCTGAGTTGAAGTCAGCCATGCAGTGCCTGGTATCACCTCAATTTCCGTGGCAGGGACTCCTTGTTTGCAGAAAGGCACTGACAGGAGCTGCTGGAGCTCATCCAGTGGGGCATTAAGCACAAAGGAGCATAGAGCTGGAAGGACAGAGGGTGCTGGAGCGCAGCAACAGCATTTCTTGGAGCCAGACCCAGGTCTGTGGGCTCTCCTCTAGCTAGTGGTTGCTACTGCCTAGCTTGTGTTCCTATTTAGGAGGCTGCAGAGAAATTAGTTAAGTTTGAGTACAACTATCCTATAATGTGACAGTAATGGCAGGACCTGCTCCTTCTTCCAGACAGAAGAGGAAGGGAGATCTCATCTAGGAGAAGCACTACTAGAGGTCTGAACTCCTGAGAGATCGGAAGGCACGAACTGGTGAGTTTAAACAGATTAGATTGAATCTAAGCAGTATTAGAAACCCTCAGAAGGAAAGTCAAAGCTCTCCTGCACACCTCAGAGCCAAACAGGGAGATCGTGTCTGGTCTCCAAGTTAGTGAAACGTTGTTTTGCTGTTATCTTCTAAAATTTATTGCTACAGTATGGACTGGAACCAAGTCCTTAGCTGGATTAAAAGATGATCTCGTATAAAGGAACCTGCCATTTAAAGCCAGCGAGTCAAGCGTGCTGCCAGCTCCAGGGGCAAGGACCAATGTACCCCACATGCACGAAGGGAAAAAGCCCCTCAATCTGTTACCTGGGGGAAGTGATAATACTTCAAGGTTTAAAATCTCACCTTTTCTTCAGCTTCTTCCCCTCCTCCTTGGATGCTGGGAGGATCATGGCCAGGTATGGTCCATCCACTTCAAAAAAGATGCTGTTCTCTGATCGTGTGACGTAGGTGAGAGAGGCTGGGTCCTGCAGTTCTTGGTACTGATCATTCGTGAAGCCTTCCTAAGGCACAGCCCCAGGAGAACAGCTTCACTCAACAGCCGGGCTGGTTACACCAGGAGATGCCCCGAGGGCGCACCCTGCCCAAAGGGATCACTAAGCACCCCTCTAAAAGCTACAGCATTATTTAGGACTCAAAAATCAAAACATTTGACCTGCCTGTTGAGAAGAAAAATGCTTTGGATGCCAAAATTATAATCTTTTGTCTTACAAAAGCTGGAGCAAGCAGAGGATGGGTTTGGACCTTGGTCTAGTCAGGACTCCCAGCCTGCACAGGTGGGCACGCACCAACCCTGGCCTCCTACACACTCTGCTGCAGGGATATCAGAGCCTCTCCCTCCGCTCAGATGCTCTCCAGGGCAGAGAGCAGCTGTGCAGCAAGCAGGGCCATCAGCCCCAGTGCCTCACTTGCTACACGGGGAGCAGAGATGGAGAGGCCCTCCTCCTTTGTCAGTCCTCCACCTCCTTTTTCCCAGGCTGCAGAGCTGGCCTGGGTGGGTGCAAGACTCACCTTCACCAGGATGTTCAGCATGGCGCCTGGGTAGGAGATTGTCACCTTTGGCTTCTTGGCATTGGTTGACTTGATGACAAAGTTCTCTGGGAAGCTGTTGGGGAGGACACACCAAATCCCATCGGTATCCAGTTCCAGAGGTCTCCTAAGGGAGGAAGGAAGGTCACTGTCAGGAGAAGAGTGCATGATAGGTGAGGATCAGCTCTGTGTCCTCCATAAAGGCAGAGGCAGCCTGTTGCATCCACTCTCTGGTCTCTCCTGCAAAGCAAACCCTCATAATACAACAGAATAACCACAGCAGTGTCAGAAATCTGAGTCTTCAACATTAACTGCTGAAAGCTCAGGTGTTTAACGTGCTCCCACATCTGTCCCAGATGCAGATGGACCTTTCCTCCCCAGCTCAGCATGTACTCACCCAATCTGCTCAATCAGTTCCCTGGCCTGGGTGATGATATTTGCTCCTGTGAAGCAGACAATGCCAGCCATTTCCATGGAGTACCAGCGAGCTCTGTGAGCAGAGGAATCCAAGTGAAGAACATGAAGTGCACCCTCCCAAACTTTGCTATGGAAAGGGCAGAGGGACCTCCAGAGGAAGAAGGGCAAGAAACATATAAACACTGGCCCTTGGCAGGTTGTTCCGAAGCATAAGACGCCTCAGAAAAGCAGGAAACCCACTAACAGACGGGATTCCCATCACTTATGCCCAACACTTTACATCTGGCAGGAGTCTCCAGGATGAGAAGTCATTGGTAGAAGCAAGAGGAGAGCGTTATGGGCAGCACCCACCTTCATCCTGGTGCTTCAGAAGCAGGGGAAGCAAGTGACAGCCCCCGCTCGGACAATCCCAGTTTCCAAGGGGCCTCTGCAGAGGACCCCAGCATCACCCACAGGGGAGACTCACCCCTTCCGCATGACGTAGCCATAGAAGGAGTTGAGGATGCACTTGTGGGCCAGCTGCAGGGAGTCGTACAGGATTTCCATGTTCTTGCAGCGCTTCACTTCAGAGGCGTCTCCTGTCTCCACCGCTGCAGACAGCTTCTTCTTCCACACCTGCAAGCCACAGGCAGAGTCAGGACAACCCCACACATCACTATGGTGGTATCCAGCTGGTTCCCCCTCGTATAGCAATACAACTCGAGAACTGTGTCTTTGCCAAAGCTCAGTAGCACGAGCTAAACCTTCCTTTTTCTTTCGCAGCAGAGGAGGAGTTGGCCAGAGGCACTTTGCCACGCCAACAACAACGTGCCATGGCCTCCTCCAGCACGAACCTCAACCAGCAGAGAACTAGAACATCCCCCTGGAACCAAACGTTCTGAACCCGAGGTCTAGACCTTGCTGCTCCGCTTGTCTCTTTTCTCCATGTAGGAAGAGTGGCCCAGACTGCACCCAGCCAGATCAGATATATCAGAACAGAGACTGGCTGAGGATTTGCTAAACCCAGCAGAAACTGGAGATGCAGATTTGTTTCCAACACCCCCACAGAGGCAGTAAATGCCGTGGCAGCAGCCATTGAAGATTCGGCAGGGAGCAGCCACAGCTGTCTGGAGCTCACCACATCCTTCTCGAATACAAGGGCTGAAGAGAGCAATCCTTTAGGGCTCAGGTTTTCAGTGAGAGATGAGAGGTCCCCAGCCTTGGCAAGACAGGTTAAACCAGAAGTAGAGCTCAGTACCTTGTGCAGCCCCTTGAACTCGTAGCGGCGGTCCCTGAAAGCTCGCACCGTGTCCACGTAGAAAGAGTTCTCTCGCTGGCAGATGGTGGTGACTCGTTCCTCCACCTTGGTGACGTGGATCTTCTTGTACGCCTTGCGGCAGTAATCTAGTCAAGGGAAAAGCAGAGGGAGCTTCTCAGGGATGGGTGCCCCACCACGGACAGAGGGATGGGCACAGCATGGACAGGGAGACATCTAAACATCAGGCATGGGTGAGCGGGGAGACAGTCCTACTGCAGAAGGAGGGGAAGGAAGATACCAGCAGAGAGAGAAGCAGCACCTCATTATGGAGATACAGGGACAGGTGGGGGTGATACACTCATCATGATGCACGTGAGGCCCATCCACAAAGACAGGCTCTGCCCTGGCCAGCTGGACGGTTCTGCTGCACAGCATCCCTCCAGGTGGTGGGATAACCTTATGTTTCCCTTTCACGAGCAGCCTTCCAAAAAATGGAGCCATTCATGTTTCAGTTCAAATCCATGGCTCTCAACAGACAAAACGAGAACCTTTGACACATTGGCCCCTCTTCGGGAAGCACACAGGAGCCTGCTGGGATCCCAGAGAAGGGCTGCCAAAGCATAGCCCGAGACCACACTCAGTCTGAACTAACCCCACCGCTGTAAGACAGGTAATCAACGGGGAGCACTGCTCACAGGCTAGGTTGCAAAACACCGCTCCAGATCATGATGTAGATATTTTTTTTTTTTTTTACCTGCCAGCCGCTTTTTCTCGTACTTGGCCTGTTCTTCCCGGGAGAGCTCGTGGAAGGCGCGGGGTGTTCCCTCGGGGGACAGCGGGGGGAACTTCTCCGACTCCAGCTGCTGCTGGATGCGGTGATACTCACTGCGGCTGGCAGGCACTGCGGAGGAGGGCAGCTATCAGTTTCCAGGGGAGAAGTGGGAATTTGCCTCCCTCTCTGTGGGCTGGACCACAGGGTCCTTGCTGTACTTACTGAACTCTCCTCTCCACTGCCAAGTCATCCGGCGCTGGCAGTTGGCACCCGGCTTGTTGAAGTCACAGGCAGCACATGTGGCCTCATCCACCATGGCTGAGGGCTGGATGCAAGAGACACACAGTGTTAGAGGGGACAGCTCTCCAAATGATGACTCGTGCCAGAACAGGCGCTGTGTGGCAGAAGAGCATAGGTGTGACCATCAGACGGTATTCAGTGAGTTCTCCTTTCCAGAGCCTTCCGGGAAGAGTCCAGCTAAAGTTGTAGCTCAACCTCCGCAGACCTGGCATCCATGGCAATTTGGGTGAATTCACACCCAGCCTTATCTGATCGCCCTGCCCCAAGCAGAAAGTTCAGCCCTTGCTGTTAAGGGGATCCAATCAGAGGTCAGCCGAACGACAGATTAGGAGACACGAGGTTGATGTTACTCACCTGCAACCTGTTGGTCAGAATGATGTTGGGGTACATGGCCCCCACATCTAGATGGTAGATTAGGGGACACTCAATTCTGTTGGGAACATCCTTCAGGGAATTCAGTTTAACCTTGATTTCATCACAAACCTGCAGCGAGACAAAAAGAAGTGAAACTCAGACAGGAAGGAGTTAAGGAGTCAAATACTTGTTGAATTGGATCATTTACTCCTGCACAGGGACACCTGCCACTGACTCTGGGGAAGGATTTAAAGGACCAAAGGAGCAGCATCAGGACTCCTCGACCACCGTTACTTTAGGTTTTGTTTTAGACCTCCAAGGTAACTTTATCTGTAGGGGTAAGTGGAAAGTGAGAGCAGCTACTTCCTAAAGGTTACTTGATCAAGGACCTTTTCAGTGCAAATGGGTTAACGGAGACAACAGCAAAGACCAGAAGTCCCCAGTCACTAACTGACCATGCCCTCCAAGAAACTCCAGACTCAGCTTTGGAGAGGGGCAACCTGCACTCCGTAGCTGATTAAGAAGCAGGGAACAAGAGGAATATGAGTATTTCAGATATCTGAGGGGTCTAACTTCTCACCAAATCCCTTCCCAGCTCTCTCAGAGCTTTGCTCCTTGTTGAACCTGCAAAGGGGAAAGCAGGAACCACATCCCCCGGCTGGGCAGGGGGGTCCTGGCTGGGGCTGTTGGTCACTTAACACCATCTACTCTGCAGGTGCCCATAGATGGGCTTCTTGGTCTCCCTCCATAGAGCATAAAATGAACCTAAACAAGCACAAGCACAAGCTCCAGCCTGGCAGCTCGGCTCTCCCTGCCAAGGCCAGCCGTCCTGTGGGTGACATACCTCCTTGAAGTTGGTGACTTGATCCAAGGGCAAACCCTCCTCCTCCTCAATGGCATGCCGCAGCGTCTTCTCCACGTGCTGCACCAAGAAGTCGAAGGCAGCAGGATTCTGCAGCAGTGTGGGGACAGCACTGAGACCATGGGCAGCCATCCCCGGCTGCGGGCTGGCAGCTCCTGCCCTGCTGCCCACGTCCCTGCCTGACTTGGGGAGCTCTAAGCATGGCCCCGCAGCATATTGAGGCACGGGCAGGGTCTAGACCACTGACACCAGGTGAAAAAACAAAGGCAATGAAGGGAAGAGACAAGGGCAGCTGACAACCAGCTAGTTGCATTTGTGTTGGCAGTGCAGCATCTCTCATGGTCTCATGCTGGCTGGTGCAAGGGTCCAGAGAGTCAGACTTAGTCCAGATCCTTTCATACACCCAGTGCCTGCTCCCCTGTGGTCATCCACTAGATGATCTCCGCCAAAATGTCCCACACTAAGTGCAATGCATCGCATGGCAGAGCGAAGCCACCTCTGAAAACTTGAGCGTCTGCGAGCACAACGCAGGTGCGAAGCAGGCAAGGGGGAGATGATGGAGATGGCAGCGTGAACCAGAAACAGGTGAAAGATGCCCACGAAGGGTTGAGAAGCAGCCTAGTTTGGGTGGGAGAAGGACAGAGGGAGGACAGGACCCCAAGGGTACAGAAGCCTATCTTCCAAGAACTGCTGGCTCAAAACCAAACCCAAAACCCCATTTCACCACTCTTCCTTGTTATCAACAAGGTCTGGCTGGCTTCTAGTACGTGACACATGGCACTTGCTCTCCCAGTGAAGCACAGAGGGCCACCTGGAGGCCTCCTCCCACCCCTTCCCAGCCCAGCTCCATGTGCTCAGGGTCTCCTGAAGTACGACAGGTACTGCCCAAGCCCAGCAGGGACATGCAGGAGAAGTTAACACCAGTGGAGGGATATTAATCATCACCAGGCTCCACAAGGACAGGGGTTGGCTGTGTGGCCCCTTACCATTTTGAAGCGGCAGGGGATGTCGCTGCGGAAGACCCCAGATTCCAGTGCTTCCACGTGGCCTCCCACGTACGTCTCCGAGTCCAGCACGTGGCCATCTTCTGTAAGTTTGTTGAATTCCTGCTCCTGCTTGTTGGGGAAGATGATGTTGGCGTGATAGGCCTGAACCATCAGCAGTGCCTCACACAGCGTCCCAGATCCTTTTCTTAACACCTGCAGGACATCAAAACTGGTTTTAAGCTCATTTAGGTTTAGGTTAGATGTAAGGAAAAAAATTCTTTACTATGAGTGGTGAGGCCCTGGCACAGGCTGCCCAGAGGAGCTGTGGCTGCCCCCTCCCCGGCAGTGCTCAACGCCGGGCTGGATGGGGCTGGGAGCAGCCTGGTCTGGTGGGAGGTGTCCCTGCCCAGGGCAGGGGGGTTGCAGCTAGGTGATCTTTTAAGGTCCCTTGCAACCCAAACCATCCTATCGTTAATCAAGAAGTGCTGCACCAGTGCTGGTGGGACTGGCCTGGCCTTACAGCCACATCAGCGAGCTGGATGGCTTCAGCTGGTGACACCCATGTGACTGCACAGCGAGCAGTGCTGCAGCCCCCAGCAAGGGTGATGGGAGCAACTGAGAAACCAACACCGCCTCCCTGGTGCTGGCCAGGAGGAGAGCAGGCTATGGACAGGGCAAAGACCTCCAGATCTCTGCTGCCATCACCTCCTGACACTACTCCTGCATCAGGAATGGTGTTGTCAGCGGGAGGTGATTATGCCCCTGTACTCGGCTTTGGTGAGGCCGCACCTTGAGTGCTGTGTCCAGTTTTGGGCCCCTCTCTACAAGAAGGACATGGTTTCGTGGTGTTGATAGAGCTAGGACAAAGGTTGGACTCGATGATCTTGAAGGTCTCTTCCAACACAAACTGTTCTATGATTCTACTCCACTGCCAAGCACCTTTGTAAGTTAAACCAGGTGGGACAAGGTGACATTTCCTACGTGCTCAGCACACACAGCTTCCTATCCATCCTCCCTACAGCTGACAACAGCCATCGGCAGACCCAGCTTTGCATGACCACAACTGCACATAAATTGGCTGAGCATGGAGCATCAGCCACACTTTCTTGCTCCAGCCCTGTACTGCCAACCCTCGGGTCTCTTGTTCTTAGGCACCTCTCCCAAACACCCCAGGGCTGTGGGGAGAAAGAAGTACCTTCCAAACCCACCCTCCCTCCCTGACACGGACAGGAAAGTGCCTGGGCAGTGGGAATCAGGTCCGTGGTCAGAGTGTCCCTGCAGTGTGAGAGATGTGGCTCTTTGCCCGCAAAGAAACACCATTTCAGGAATGCACCCACCTCATCAGGCTCCATGGGAATGATGGTGCACAAGGCGAAAATGAAAGGGTGCACGTACTTCATATACATGTAATAGGTAGCAACAGCGTCGGACACTGAATAGGTGGCCAGGGTCTGTCGGGGAAGGGCGAGAGGCAAATTAATCCCAATCCTGTGTGACAGAGCAGCTCAGTGA